CGTCTGTTTTGGAGCAACATGGGGGGATTGTGACCTTTGGATGAGCTAAAAATTAATCTTTAATATCTCAGAAAGCAAAGCAGCACAAACGAAAATTTTAACGGCACTAACCAGCACTAACGGAGCACTAACCATTCAGACTATTTGCTTTAATTTTGGAAGTGGGTGGGGTGTCAGCTTCACTCAGCTCACACAAACACTGATAAATAAACTGAACACAATAATAATAGTAATAACGGCACCTGATGAAAACAACCTGGGTGTAAAAAGGCACACATCTTCTAACTGTATGAGCGTTTGGAACCTGCATGGCACTGTATCCCAGTTTTAGGAGCTTGTTCATGCTTTATTTTGGAGAAATGCTCGACTTTAGACTATTGATCTAATCCGTATCATTTGTTCTTTTCAGCGGGTGCCAGGACATGAGCGGTGTGCCACTTCACAATGTCAGGGTTTTTCTGATGTTTTCCTCTAAAGAGAGTCCAAATAAAGCGTCCGATTTAAGTGATTTCATGACTTATGTTCTGTTTTCAGCCATGTGTTTGAATGTTTAATGGACTGGATGAACATGCTAGGACTCATCTGCACATGTTGGTGCAAACGGCACGAGAGGACATAATCTTTTGTGTGTGTGGCTGTGTTGACAACTCCTGACGGTGTACATGCAGCTACTGTTAAATGACATATACACCATGTGTGTGTTTAGGGAGCAGAGGGATCTCTCTGACCTGTGTGCTGACCCCCTGGCGGGTGATCGGGGTCTGTGTAACAGTGATGACCCTGGGAGCCATTGGAGCTGCTGTCTGGGCCGTAGGTCAGCCTGCATCACTGTCACATACACAAACACATTTCTGTCAAACCTTTGATGACCATATCTTTTTGCCTTTGATGTGTCATGCTTATCCTTTTTGCCTCTCAGTTGAAAGCCTTTATAAACTGCTGTTAAAGCTCTAACTGCTTGTTTGTTATTTTTGTCAATAGTTTCATACTGCACCATGGAGGAGGACACAGGACTGTATGATGGTGAGTTAATGATGCTTTCTGATAGAAAATCTTATTCCATAAGTCTTTTTGTTTGGACATGTTGACATTAAAGACTACATGAACAAGTGGTATGACCAAGTTCCCCATCGCTGAAGAATTTGAATAGTGAATGTTTTTTCAAGACAGGAAATGAACAGGGAATCCAAGTGAAAATGTTCTTGGTGCAAGATATTCAAGTGGGTAGGAGTTACACTATGTATAAGAAGCCGGGTAATTTATTTTATGCTTTCGCTTGTCCAAGATAGCGCAGGCTAAGATGTTTGCAGATGACATTGCAATCTGTGGTGAGAATGGGAAACAGGTGGAAGAGAACTTGGAGAGGTGGCGGTATGCACTTGAAAGAAGAGGAGTGAAAGTCAGCTGTAGTAAGACAGAGTACATGTGTGTGAATGAGAGGGAGGTCGGTGGAACAGTGAGGCTACAAGGAGCAGAGGTCACAAAGGTTCAGGACTTCAAGTACTTGAGGTCCACTGTCCAGGAAAATGGGGAGTGTTGTAAACAGGTGAAAAAGAGAGTCCAGGCAGGATCAGAATCAGAATAAGCTTTATTGTCATTGCACATTGAAGTTCAGTAAAATTACATTCCGTACAACCGTCCTAAATATGGATGGAAGTGTACAGGGTTTGCGTCTTCTAAGAAGCGCTGCCCTTATTGCTTAGATAAGAAAAGGGGAAGAAAACATGAGGTGAAAGTTATACAAAAAGATATCTCACACTGTGTCCTTGACAGGGCATGGTTTAAGGCATCAAAAAAAAAAAAAAATCTACCACAGCAAGCAATGTATATAGACACAATACTTATGCATGGATGACAAGAAGGTGCGATTTGTCCATAAACACTTCCATATAGTTTCCATAGTCCTGATAAGATGTTACAGTTTCTGTCAGCTGGTACAAATCTGATAAGCGTTCACAGAAATTATCTTTGGGGTGCAGGGGTGGACAGAGCAGAGCTTCTTAATTTACATATCCACCAGGAGCAATCTGAGATACGATGGCCTATCCAAGGCCAAGCGGGGAGGCCAGATTCGGATAAACAACAATGGTTTTGAGCAGGCCGACTCTGATTTCTGTCTGCCTTCTGTTCTGCTGGTTCTCTCGATGGCGAATCCAAACAGCCAGGCTTTGTCAGCCTTCTCCAAGGTCGAATCCTTCACGCGGGCGAGTTCCAGGAGCCGCAAGTGGCCTACGATTCGCAGAAATTGCGTCCAGCTTACGGTTGAGCTCACAAAGCATACGAGTCTCAGAGCTTGAAGCACAAATTAATCCTTCACATAAGGCTGGCAGCTTTACCGTGGCCAAAACTGCTGCCACCGTCTTCCTAATTTGTCAATATCCTAGGTATCTGCCAATTCCCAAAAGCAAAAACACCATTATCATAAATCCAATAATGTACAGATCTTCTACGTCCTCCATGGACAGTACAGACAGGCACATCATCTTCATCTCCCCCCAAGAATCAGTGACATACCCAGGTGCATGCGTCCGTTCAGGGCATGAGGGCTCTCCAGCACCCTGTTTCTTGGTCGAAAATTTTTTATCAATTGCGTTGAGAGACCAGCTGACTAGATCCATAAATTATGATTTGGAAGATGTGTAAAGAGAGGCTCTGATACACAGGACAAAGAGCAAAAGCAGGAGGAAGGCAGGAGAGGGAAGAAAAGTGTCCGTCTTCGTCAAGGGCAAGTGAGGGAAAAAAAAGGATGGAGTGATTTGGGGAAAAAGGGTGGCAGGAACGTTCAAAGGAAAGTACAACAAAGTCCATGCTCAATAATCCAGGTATACAATCCAGCATTTTTCAGTCAGGTCATCTGGACAGTTTATTTTTTTTTGGTGCTGAAAC